GTTAGATTACGGATCTTTATGCACATTCTCAATTCAATATGTCACTTTACAAAAATTAGAATTAGAAAGGAGTTTCCTTCGTCAACTAAAATAGTAGTCATCGGAAAAAGAATTTATACACAGATGTTATATATCTTTGTTAACTTATGTTCTCTGTTGCAGCTTAAAAATCTACACATGCGATAAATCTATAAAGATCCGCAGCCTAGTAACCACTGTTTTGAGATCTGGAGATATTAACAATAATGCTATTAACTATGGATCTTCACGCAAAATAAAATTTTTAAATAGATTGAAAATAATACAATGCTATTTTGAGATATTTTTAATAAAGAATATTCATATGTGACTGCACTATTCGGTAAATGTGTGAATATTTCAGATGCATATCGTCATTTCCTTTCCACAAGGTGTGCCATTTCCTAATTTCTTCTACAGGATGTCCCATAATTATGCTAACACTCGGAAAGGTCGCGGCTTTGTTTACGAGTTATTAATAAAAAAAAAAAACAGTTACCAATGAGAGGCGAGATTAGCTGGCGCGAGGCGGTCAAGCCAACGAGCGGTCGAAGCTCAGTTCCGCTCATTGGCTCGGCCACCTTGCGTCAGCCGAACTCGTCTTTCATTGGTCACTGTTTTTCGTTAATAACTCGTAAACAAAGCCGCGGATACATTTTCGCTAAAGAAAGAGTTACTTCAAATGACCTCAGGAATTATCCCTTTCTAGGTGTTAATATAATTAAGGGACATCCTGTATATCGACGTACCGATACGATGTACCGAGAACGAATGAACAATTATTTTTCTGGCGTTTCTTAACTGAATGAAAAATCAATAATGCACTTGATAAACAATTCGGAGATTCCTAAAACAATTCTTCAATCTATAAAGAAACGTTTGAAAGCTGCTTGAGTTTATTGCAACATGAATATAAATATCTACCCTGCATAACAGTTTTTCGAACCTATAATGCAAGCCAAAAGAAATTGATATTATCGCATAATACTTTTTCTACATTTCTTTGAGATCGAATCTGACGTAACTCAAGATATATCGAACTTGGTTTCGACAAAAAGGGAAAAAAATTAATTGAAATCCGAAACGATCATTTCGGTTTGTCGCTGCCTTAGTAATTGATCACCTATAGATTCCGTAATGCCTCATTTTCTGGGTAATTACGATATCTGGTTACTGCTTCCCTATACTTAAGAGAATAGAATACTTTATTGTGGCTCACCTCTGGCACCGTCGTTTCGTACGGCGTGTTAATGAATATCGGTGCGTTATCGTTTATATCCGACACGCGCACGATCACTGGTATCGTTCGCTTCTTGTTGGTCTGCTTCACGGTGCAGCTTAACTGTAACAACACGAAAATTCATATTTTCACATGATGGTGTTCTTCTACAATCGATTGAAAATACAAAGGAAAGAATTAGAATGCTTTGTAATAGAGAAGAGACTAAAAGTATAAAAATTCGCAAACTTGAAAAAATGTGTGGCTAATATGAGACCCAGTTTGGCTTTTGCAGAAAATTTATTTTTCATGCCGTTTTTACAAAATTGGCGTATCAAATTAGCGAATCTTAAACTTCATTGGACGCACTACACAATGGTATTTATGAAAATAATTGTACACTTATTGTTTTTAAGATTTTTGTAATATATAATCGAACTCTTTCAAAAACTCTTCGAAACGCACGGTAGATGTCCCTATTTCGGTGCTTTTAAGCCAATTTTTATCTTGCTAAAGCTTTTATTTCAGCATAAATTGAAATACTCTAATCTTCATTTAATGCAGTGAAACTATATTTCGACTTTTCAGACATTTCTATCTTTAGAAATATCTTTTTGCGTGACGGAAATTAGTAATTTAATAACGTTTTTAATGAAATAAAAATATATATATATATTTGACTCTGATTCTGTGACATTTCAAAGCCTGTGTTCATAGTTCCGTGCCCCATGTTTCTGTGTTCGTCCATATTTCTGTGCTTGATCATACTTTTGTGTCTGTCATTTCTGTGTCTGCGTATACTTCTGTGCGCCCTATTTCTTTCTTGTGGGTATCTCTTGCAATTACTCAGCTCCTTTTAATAGCATTCCCGATCTATTTTTCTTTTCCCATAATATTGTCTCGAAAATGTGATTAGGTTTGATTACACGGTATAATACAACAGAGCACTGAAATACATGTTCTGAAATCTGACCCTATTTCTCGTTTCGTTTTATAAATATAAAAATATACACGATGAGTGTCTCTTTTTATCGTTGTTAGTACGAAATGAAATCACTCTTACTATCTATAATAATATACGCTTTATACGACGTAAAGCATAATAATAAATAACTTATACGAAACTCTTCAGCAAGCGTTTGTTACTATTTTTGACAAGACATACTACTGTGATCAAAAAGTCAGGTGAACTTGTTTATAAAATGTAAATTCTTTATTTATTCTTCCAAATCAATTTCATCCCCTTCAAAGTAATCCCCGTCCGATAAAACGCACTGTTTCCGACGCTTTTTCCAGTCCTCGAAACAGTCGGAATAGTCTTTTTCCGGTATAGCCTTCAAGACCTTCTTCGATTCGGTTTTTATCTCCTCAATCGTGTCAAAACGGCGTCCCCGCATCGGCTTTTTGAGTTTGCTGAATAACCAGAAGTCGCACGGAGCCAAATCAGGCGAATACGGCGGTTGCGGAACGATATGAGTCGAGTTTTTGGCAAAAAAGTCGCGAAGAACCAATGCAGTATGACATGGCACCAATCGAGACTTGACGCGTTTGAGACACAAAACATCCTTCAAAATGGTTTGGGCTGAACCAAATGATATTCCAACACTATCAGCGAGGTCTCTCATTGTCAGTCGACGATTTTCAAGCACCAAATCTTCGATTTTTTTGGACGTGGCCCTCGTCGGTAGACGTTGATGGTCGTCCAGAGCGCGGTTCGTCTTCAACGCGTTCTCGGCTCGCTTTGAACTCGTTGTAC